TTTACTGTATTTTTTATCATTTTAATATTTCATGACTTAAACTTTCTTCTTTTTTCTTTTATTTTACATTCATTACTGATGGGAAAAGACACAAACGTTTCGGCTCAAAGCCTTCCTCAGTGACACTGAGGAAGGCTTTGAGCCAAAACGTTTGTGTCTTTTCCCATCAGTAATGAATGTAAAATAAAAGAAAAAAGAAGATTGTTCTCGTGAGTGCGGATCATAATTTCCTATACTAAGTAACTCAACAGATTGACGCACCAAAATAAAAAGATCAAGTAACGCAAGAGCGCAGTGCAAACGACGTTGTTCAAATGACTTAAACTTTAACATATAACTCATCTCACACTAGCAACCACATACCAATGCCCCAAAATCCACACTAAGAAACCCTTAGCAACACCTGTGTCAACTTTGAGCAGTTTCATGTTCCAATAATCCTCATACCCATCATCCACTGCATTCGCCTTATTACAGTAATGTGTTGAGCCGACAGAAGATGACTAAAGAAAGATTAGATGAAACTAGAGATGCACCGATACCGATACTGGTATCGGTATCGGGCCCGATATTGAGCTCCTGTACTCGTACAAACCAAGGTATTCAGACTCACTCCGTTTCCATGGCAACACACACACACACACACACACACACCTGGGTAGGAGATATCAGAAGGAGTTTACATAACAGAGCTCCTACACAGCTTACAGAAATGTGCCACATTTAAATCTCTCCATGTGCTACACTCTCTATATCCATATGTGAGTGTTCTATTCTAAGAAGCTGCATGTAATTTACATAACTCAAAGTAGGCTGTTGAAAAGTATAAACAGGCAGCTTGCAATGTCTAATAACTAACTTCTATCCATAACCAAATGGAAATAAGTACATTCTAAAGACCTTTTAAATATAATTGTGCATTAATCATGTTGGGTCATATGATGGCACACACATGAGGATGTTGTTCAGTGTCCTGCATGTGCTCTAATGAGCTGATAACATTCATGGCCTCTCTGTGCTCTCAGTCACCTTGGCAACTCCTGACAGACCTCAGCACGCCTCGCAGAGGGACAGCGGCGAGCTAACAGTTACAAATCAGCTGCTCATCCGAAACAAGTCAAGCCAGACAGACACATCAACCTCTAGAGTAGATCAGACGGTCAGTCAAACATCTGGCACAGAGGAAACATGCACAGAAAATACTGCAATGACAACATAAACCTTACTCAGGGGAGTAAATCTCATTTCAAATTTGATGAGCAAGAGAAACAAGACATTTTCTTCACAGTATTGATTGTAACAATATTTCCGAACCAAGTGGGACACAATCTACTCCTGTAAAACTGGGTTTCTGTCTTAACCAGCCTGAGCCCTGGAAAGCAGATGTTTTGTTGTTAGCTTGGTAGAGTCTGGTATAAATACAGATTTCACTTTCGATTCCTTATCACACACTCTCAGTGTGATTCTGAATCATCTGGGTATACTGTATTCCTGTTTTAATGTAAATTTTGCTTTTATGAATAGACGATGTATTTGCTAATGCTGTGAATTATACAGGACAGTGTTGCAGACTGATTCAAATCATTAACTATTATCTTTTGAACTATGTATCATGGGAATCGGCTCATGAGAGTGATTTGTTTTGGGAATCAGACTAAAGTAGTCACGCTTATGTTTTGGATTAATTTGTTCACAAGTCATTTGTTTGTGAATCTGATGACATTGAACGCACAGTATATTTCTTTTACTAATAACAGCAAGTCGTTTTTTTATTATTTCTTTTTATTTCCATTATGTGTTTTTTTTATTGTAGCACATTTAAAACAGACAATTCAGTGTCACGTGGTCCTTCAGAAATCCTTCTAATATTCTGATTTGGTGCACATGAAACATTTATTTTTATCAATGGTAAAAACAGTTGTGCTGCTTCATATTTTTGTGGAAAGGGCAAGACTTTTTTAGGATTCTTTGATGAAATGAAAGTTAAAAAGAACAGCATTTGTTCGAAACAGAAACAGTTTATACAATTATAAATGCCTTTGCTGTCAATTTTGATCAATTTAGCAAGTCCTTGATGAATAAAAGTTAATTTCTTTCAAGAAAAAACAAATCTTACTGACCCCACAATTTTGAACTGTAGTGTATAAATTAAAATATATATATATTTTCAATAGTTAAGTTTCATTAAAATATGATATATTAACCTTTTTTCAATATCAGCAAACCTGTATGACATTCGATACAGACTGCAAACTGAAATCTGCAATATGGAAGTTGCTGCACAAATACATTTTCATGCTGCTACCAAAAATAGGCATAAAAAGATCATATTTGGGATTTTAAGAAATAATATCAAGATCATTCAAATTAAGATTAATGAGAAAATCAATACTGTTTGATGTTTCTTTGGCATTGTGCTGAGCAATATCCAAAAATCCTTAGTAATTATAAAAAATGCACTGTAAAAAAATTAATTTCTGAAAGTTGTAAATGAAGCAAAGATTACTAGAGCACGTTTTATAAGAAATACTATTTCAGTTTTTCTATTTCAAAATTTTACTTTTAATTTAAAGTTTTACTTGCTGTATATTTGTAATTATTTGTGCAATTTCTGAGTGAAAATTGTTTCTACGCCATTTTTTTAGGGTGTATTCACACCAGGAAAGTCCTCTAGTTCACTTGCTTTGGTATGGACCAAATACAATGTAGATGTTTTTTTTGTTTGGTGTGGTTCGCTTTCACATTGCCCTTTTTGCAAGTGAACCAGAAATTGTAAACAAAATAGGGCTGGGTAAAAAATATCATATCTCGATTTTAATCGATTCTCATTTTTACGAAACGATATCGATTCTTAAATCCCAAGAATCGATTAGTCTAGCCTGTTTTCAGTTAATGGACTGAACGTTGACGGGCACTTCCCATCCAATAAATCGCAATAAGCATTGTGCGTTGGTACTTTAAATATGAAACAAAGTCTCAGATTTCAATTTATGTCTATTGTATTGCATTATTCAAACAATAAATGCCGTTTTGTAAAACTTAATTAAGTGCAATTTAAGCAGTTTTACAGCACAAATCAGTAAATTTTAACCTTCAATATTATAATGTAGTACCAACTGACTCTCATGTATATTTTACAGCATTAGTTGAGATTTTTTTTTCCCTTGAGAAAATTTGGCATGTACTGTACCTGATATGTATCCAAAATAATCGATATTGAATCGAATCGCAAGCTTGTGAATGAGAATCGAATCGTGAAATTTGTGTCAAAACCCAGCCCTAAAACAAAACCACACGTGTGCCTAAGGTCATCCATTCATTGGACAGAAATTCTCAAGCGTACCAGAGTTCGTTTGGAACCTCTTCAGCTGGGTCTCGGTGCGCTTGTTTGGTCCGCACTCGAGTGCGATTGCTGTATTCACACCTGCCCAAAAGATCCGCTCCAAGGGGGGAAACAAACTTGAGTTTGATTCAATCGAACCAAACAAGACAGGTGTGAATACACCCTTAGTGTGTTTTGCTTGGCTGCATCACAATGCTTTTCTGCTGGAAAACACATGAAGGCTTGTTATTGTCTTCATCCAAGCAAAACATATTCATTTTGGGTTATGTTAGATCATAAATGTGATCTGCTGAAGTAGGATACTTATTCGATCTGAAGTGGTGTCAAACGCAAGGTGAAGTACTTTCAGATGTGAGCTGCCGGATTGTGAACTTTCTCACTTCGCAGCGATTCCCCATCAGACTAAACCAACAGTGCAGGTTAAGAGAGGCCAACATCAAAGCTCCGCTGACAGCTTAAACAAACACATCTCATTTCCTCGGTAATTTCCCAGTTTTGTGTTCACACATAAACATACACACACGCATTTAACACTACATCTGCAACAATGAGCTGTCCTCTCCACACAGCTGCAGCTAGCAGAATGAAGGCTGCGTTCGGCAACATCAGGTGTTGTGACAGTGAACATGAGGCCCTCGCGGGACACAGCCAGCTCTGATGAGGACCTGAAGATGGCACATATGGCTCCAAAATGAGACCCTCAGCTGATTGTGACATGATTGCTCTTTGGGGGGCCTCAGGCTGACAATGAATCAGCCAATGAAATCTTTCACAATTGGACTCGTAGGAGATTAAAAGCACTTAGTCATTGCTAAAAAGACCTCCATGTGTAAAACATTTTAAGAATAAATCATAGATCATTTTAAGAATTGTGCAGCTTTTATTAGACACTATTAATATAATGAGTTCTGCAACAACATTAAATTATTATAATTTTTACATTTTTTAAATAAAATATTAAATTATATAAAATACACACTACCTTCAAAAGTTTAGGGATGGTATTTATTACATTTTTTCTTTCTTCTTTTTACTGAAATAAGTCACTTATGCTCACCAAGGCTCCATTTATTTGATCAAAAAAATCTGTAAAAACAGTAATTTTGTGAAATATTATTACAGTTTAAAATAACTGTTTTCTACTTAAATATTTTTTAAATTGTAATTTATTTCTGATGTAAAGCTGAATTTTCAGCATCATTACTCCAGTCTTCAGTGTCACACGGTCCTTCATTCAGTGTCACACGATCCTTCAGAAATCATTCTAATATCCTGATTTGCTGCTGAAGAAACATTTCTCATTATTATCAATGATGAAAAAGTTGTGCTGCTTCATATTTCTTTTATGGAAAACACAATTTTTTCAGGATCATTTGATGAACAGAAAGACCAAAAGAGCATCATTTGTTTGAGGGAGAAAAAAAGCATTATAAAAATCTTTATTGTCACTTTTGATCAATTTAAAGCACCCTTGCTGAATAAAAGTATTAATTTCGTAATAATAAAATTAGTAATTTTTAATTTGGTGAACCCAAACTTTTGAATGGTAGTGTATAAATTACATAATAATGTTTTCAATAGTTAATGTACACTAAAATACAATCTAGTAAACATTTCATATATATCAGCAAACAGCAAAAAAGTAACAAACGCTTACCCATTGGCTAGGTCGTCATCATCGACGTCTACATCAACGTCATCATCGTCGTCATCCTCTTCTTCTGGTTGGCTCTTGCCCGTCAGGTTGCTGTCGCTGAGGTAACCAGACTTGAGGTCAGCCAGGTCATCGTCCGCGGCATCCAGGCCCTCGATGAGCTGGATGTGCTGCAGGTGGCTGGTCTGCAGGTGGCTGGTCTGCGTTGTTGCTCGGATGGGCAGCGAGTGGGCGGAGACCCCGGAGGAGGGGGCGTCGCCAGCCTGCAGCCGAGGGCTGGACTGGCTTTGGCGCCAGGAGAGAGGGGAGGAACGGTTGGACAAGCTAGAGATGCTGCGGGCGTTAGTCTCATCGCTGTCGTAGCACATGCTGCTCTCAATACAGCTGAAAGATTAGAAAAAAAGAAGGTGGTTAAAGGATTAGTTCACTTCCAGAATAAAAAATTCATTTTTTTCCTAATCCTTTCATTCTAAAGCATGTCGTTAGAACAGTGTTATTTTAGCTTTTTTTAGTTTTTTTTTTTTAATTTTCCATTTTTATTTCAATTTTCATTTTAGTATTTTTTATAAAATGTTTATATAGTTTTTTTTTTGTTATTTTAGTACATCATTAAACTAAATTAAAATGAGAAATGTTGGCGACTAGCTAAAAAAAGCGTTTAATATTTTTTATTTTAGGTTTAGTTAACTATAATAACCCTGCACTGGAGTGATGGTTATCGTAGATATGTATGTTTGAAGCTTGGTGTGCTCATATTACCAAAATTTCTGCTAAATTTTATAGGCAAAAATGGTCCATTCTCTACTGTCAACAGTGTAGCTACTGTATGTATGAAGCACAGGTCACACAGAAGTCACTATCAACCAAGCAGCTTTTGTTTGTCAAAACACGTGATGAATCGGTGTAACCAACTTGAACCCATTGCGAAATCTGTGTGTGGAAATCATTTGCCCTCCTACGAAAATTCCTGTCGCATGGGTTCCTATTGAAATGACTGGATTTCACCTGTGGAAACTCGCTGAACAACTGTAAATGTGACTGTGGCTTCAAAAAGTTTGGAAAAAGATGAACAAAATTTCGTAAGCGAAAATTCGTAATTACGACGTGTTAGGTCACCAACGGTTAAATGTTGTGCTTAATGCTGCTCGAGCCCATGTAATGTTGAAATTAGCAAACTGATGTAGTCGGAGAATAAGAGCTTCGATGCATCTGCACTCAGGCGCTGGCATTCTCAGCGCATTCAAAACAAAGGTCCCAGCTCTGGCAAAATAAAAGTCCCATTTCTGACACTTAACTGCAAACAGAAAAAAATTGTATCGGGTGCTGCCAATTTTTAAAAACTGCCAAATATTGGCCAACATAATTGTGGATATACAGCAGATTCCTCTTGAAACGACCAGATTTCACCTGCGAAAATGTATCGAACAATTGTAAATGTGCACCTTTAAAACTTTTGAAAAAGATGAGTGAAATTTCGTAAGCGAATTCATAATCATAATATGTTAAGACATGCACTCCGATTGCTGTGTTCATGTAATGTTGAAATTACTAATGTGTTTTTTTAACCTTAAACCGCATAAACACATTTCATCACACCAAATACACAAAATAATGTTCTTTTTTAGCAACGTCATATGACCCCTTTAATTTTGGACTCTGCCTTGTCAGGTTTTCAGCCTGGAATTAACATGAGAAAACCTCTTTAACTCCACAGAGATGCTTCTGAGAGTGCAGGCAAACTCATTCGTCATAGTGGATATAACTGTCAGCTTTCATCAACACATCACGAAACTCATCTCAGTCTTACACATCTTGTGGATGTATGTCTATGTTGTCTCTGGTAGGTGATACATCATCCGTGGGGATTTTAAGGTAAAACGTGTCTTGAGGATGTTTAATTTCCTTCATGCCTGCTGAACACGCCACTCAAGCTTTCTACAGGAAGTCAGTCGCACACACACTGACCCCTCGGGTGCCTTTCTCTGATTTTAAAATAGTAGGTCACGGTTTGGGCAGCTGGAGGAACTGGCTGACCTTCTGCTGATTCAACACTCACCTATCCCAGTCCCAACTAAAGCCCTCATCTGGATAAACTCGTATCCTCTCGAGTTGTGCCTGCCCTGCAATGATTTTAATGTTCTTATTAGTTTCCATGTGTGGCTTTAATGCTTTTAAAACCAGCAGATGGATGGAGATTATTTCCCGCTGACTTTGATCTCAACTTTCAAAGTATAAAAAGCCTTTAGATAAAGTTTGCTCCAAATTAAAAGAACGTTTCCGGTTCAAAACAGATTCTATCTGTGGCACGCTGTCAATTACCACAGAAAATAATTTAAACTCATTCTTCGGCAAATATCGTGTTTACAGTTTGAAAGCAGAAATATGCACTTCTCAGAGAGCATTTATATTAAACTAATTCTTTAGTACAAAAACGAGATATTTGAGCTGTAAAAGTGTCTAAATCATCGATTTTGCAGCGGGACCACCATTCTAGGCGGGTGAACGTTTAGTTTTGTGGCATAATACCTTTGGGTGAATGTTTAACTATGTAAACGTACGGATTGACTGTCATATGCAGAGGACACACGTTTTATGCATGCAGGTAAAGTAATTTAATCACTTTTCTCTTGAAAAAAAGTTAGGGATTAGTCTTTTTTTTTTACAGTTTATTTTGATGTAATAGCATTATATACTGTATAGACTATAGAACAATTCTATATGAAACAAAAGTGGATTTAACATCAAAATGTAATGTCTAAATGCATGTTTTTAATAACCTTATGCAACCTTTTAAATACCATGGTCAGTTCAAGAATACTTTATGCAATTTTATACTATTTGAAAGACGTGAAAGTAGAATTAATTTGAAAGAATTAAAAGCTGTTTCATGTCTATCCTTCTATTGTTCAATTGATCGAGGCTGATATGGGATTTAGAAAGTAATTTGTAATAAGTAATGCAATACTTTTTAGATAGAGTATTTAATATCTAATTGCACTGTTGAAGATGTAATTAGTAGCTAGTAATTAATTACTTTTATAGAGTAATTTACTAAACACTGGCTACAAATGCCTCTCTAACAGCTGGTCCATGCAATTAAATATTTGTAACACATTAAAAGACATGACAAATGACAAATGTGTATTTGCCGAATGCTGACAATATATACTATTTAATTAAATAACTTATGAGACAAAACTGTTAAAGACAACTAACTAATGAAGTCGGAGACAGGAGCTCTGCTGCATCTCAGCGCCTTTCAAAACAAAAGTCCCAGCGCTGTCACTTCCAACGCTTAACAGTAAATAGAAAATTACTCCCAATAATTTAAAAATAGCAAATATTGGTCAATATATCATATATCAAAGTCACAAACTTCTGGGGGGTCCTGCACCAGCAGACTAGCTACCTTTGGGAATGCTAACTGATAACTTAATGCTAACCTATATAGTCATAATTGGTATTTACATTTATGCATTTGGCAGATGCTTTTATCCAAAGTGGCTTACATTGCATTCAACTTATACAACATTGGTGTTGCTAGCGTCATGCTCTACTTTTCAAGTTATAAAACGCTACCGACTGATCTACAGGAATGCAACTTACAGCATGTCACATCGTCTCACTTGTTTTGAACTCGCAGCACTTGAATACCCACAATGCACTGCATATTTGCAGTTATCACAGATTTATGTAGAAATTTTATACAAACAGCAAAGGGCTGAGAAAAATGTTCATAGAAAAAAAGACAATGGCTTTCAGAGCATTTACGTGAATGTGAATTATCCTTTGATAAAATGGTAGGCGCTTCTGTTTGCCTGACTTTTGTGCTGAATAATAATAATGACGGCTAAATGACAGTGATTATTGTTCCTTTTATCCTTCAACTGGGCCCTTCTGAGAACACTTCAATCAGAGGAGGAGAACATATGCCAAATCAAGAAAGTAACCATTGTTATGCATCATAAAGCACTATAAGGCCACACAAAACACTGACATACAGTATGTCTATTATAGAGTTTGGGCTCAGCACATTACCGACTCTCTCTACAGGGGCATTAGTGTTTATGTGCAGAAGATGCATTAAATCAGGCCAATTATGTTAAGGTTTTAATAGAATGACTTCAAAGCTGCTGAGGCAGAGTAATTTTATACTAGGAGGCAGTGCTAAAATTACACAGACACACTCAGGCTAAGTGAAAGATAGAGAGCTAAGATATACTCCGATGATGGATCTCTTACAGTTCATCTGTTCATGTCTGGCAGACGAGCTGGATTTGAACTCACTTTGCCCGTATGAGCACCACGGCTCAATGCGTCAGAGCACCTGCGTCCACCACTAAGCCACAGCTCTCATAGCTGTTACACAACATATTTAGTGTTTCGTTTGCAGGAATGGACTCTCTCTAGGCCTGTTGGTTTATAATGCACCATTAACAGCTTCCTCGAGTGACTTCCTCTGGTTGAAGGAGCGCTTTCTGCTTCTTTAAACAATACTCTAGCAAAAACATTGCCAGAAGCTTTGGTTTCCAAAACACTAACACAACATACTGTGTGAGGTCTGGCAGGGGTTTGCAGTTGTGGCTTTCTAATGAGAGGCTAATCCATCCTTTTGCTGTAGGGTTTGCATGTGTGTTTGTAAGCCTTGGACAGCAGAAAACAACAGGCGAAGGTGCTGATGTGAGAAGGACACAGAAACATCTGCTGCTCTAGTCCACGACTGCTGACTTCCTTTGCTGATGTTTTGTATTCACTTGGAGATATGTAATATTCCTCGGAATGACATTTGAATATGACATTAAGGACAAACATTTTAATTTGTTTTTTCTTTTTTAGGAATGCACTGATATTAAAATATAAAAAATTCATTATAATTATACTGTTAATATTAAACTATTAAAATACATTATTTTACTATTTTTATTTATTCTAAATTTCTAATTCTATCAATTAGATCACAACATTATAACATTACAGTATGAGAAAGGGATATTCTGTTTAAGTTTTGGTAATTGTTTTCTTCATTTGAGTAACCTCAAATGTGCACTAAATTACACAATCTAAATTTAAAAAAAAACTAAACCCAGAAAAAGGATAATTGAGCACTATTAAATACCCAAAATCAGCCAATATATCCAATTAATGACTAATACGATAAATTTACAAATCTCTAATATTTCTAATATGAGGTTAAAAATTTTGGCAACCCTAAATTACCAATTTGAGAGATTATTTTATTTTTAAAACCTGATTTGTGATTTCCTAGCACTAAATTAACCAAAAATAAAATAATCAATGAAAAAATACAAAACAAAACTTCACAATATAAAAAAAAAACACAAAATAGCAAAACAAAATAAATAAATAAATACATTTTAAAAATCACAAAACAAAAACAAAAAACAACACAAAATAAAATAGCAAAACAACAAAAAAAGCACAAAACAAAACACACACAAAAACTAAATAAAATAGCAAAAGGACCAAAAAAAGCACAAAACAAAAATTTATGCAAAACAACAACAGGAATAAAACAGCACAAAATAAAAGCACAGAACCAAACAAAAAGCTAAGGGAAAAAACAAAACAAAAAAAAACAAACAAGCACGCACAAATAAACAAATGAAACACATTTTGCAGAGTAAGTCCACATTTAAATCTTAACACATGGTAGACTCCATCACTTTTAAAGGAGAGCTGGACTAGAAGAGTGAGCTCCTGTACCTGTGGCTGAGCTGTGACCCCCGTAAGCTGGACATGGTATCTTCCAGGTTCTGCCGGAGGTCAAGGACATTCTGAACGGTACGTTTCCTCTGGGACTCGGGATCTGCAGGAAAGAACAGAGAGGAGACGATGAGTGGCCGGTTAATGCAGGCATTTAGCAGTGATATGGCCATACACAGACAAACACACCCATGTGCATTAAGATTTAACACTTTGTGGAGAAGAGCCAACAAAAACATTAATATATAGATGCATGTCATCGAGCCATGGTCCACGTTTTCAACTCACACACATACAGTATCTCAGTTTTCAGGAAGAACACACAAACGCCTTTCTCTCGCGCTGTAAGAGTGCAGAGCAATGAAGCAGTGGAATATGACGATTCAGCAAGTAGGCAGCATTTCAGGCAGTACTAGAATGAATTAAACATTACATTTCCAGCCTGCCAAGATGCCAAAACCTCTTTGAGCTACTGTACTAGCAAGCTCACTTAAACAGGACTTTAGTATTTATAAAAGGTCTCCTTTCAGTTTAATTGCTTGCTTTATTTAGGCAAATGTGCTTATACAGATTTATTTGACATTCAAGCTGTAAAACTGTGGGGAAATGCATTATACGTCTTAACTCTGACATGTTGAGGACTATTTTAAAACTGCTGACAGTAAAAGTGCTATTTCGTCTAATCAGCCTCCCACCCTAAAAAAAACATTAAAAAAAAACATGCCGGTCTACTAGTGTCAGATAATAAAATCACATAGTGCAGTTTATAAAGAGGTTTCCCTCCGTTTATCCGTTCATCAGTTTGGCTTTACACACAGACTCATATGGAATGAAATAGTAGTGTAACACTTATCAGATACTGCCTACAATTTATGTTAAAATTATGTGAAACAGAATTAAATATATGCATTGTTGTCATATGACTTCACTATGTTTAACTTAAGTCATAACAACTTATAATTTTGGAGATAAAAATGTCTTTGTAAAAATGCCTTAGCTTTGACAGATAAATAATGAAAAAAAGAGACTCATTAGTTGATATTTCTTCATTTATACAATTCATTTGTCACACTGGTAATTTAATTGAGCACTTTTCACCTCATTATATAAGTTTGTGTAGCCAGACATTTGGCTACAGGCATAAAGTCTGGTCCACATTGAAGTTTATTCTGGCACAAAACATTCATTATTACATCACCCTCAACTGATGATACTGCAGGCATGCAAGTGATAGCATGCTCAAATAATAACACTGCAATCTCAAAAAAGAAAATTTCACATAATTAGCTAACTTTGTTAAATCCAACATGTCACTGTTTCCTGGTGCATCCGGACTCCTAGAAATTGTGTAGAAGTCAACTAATCAGAGAGGAATTAGTGATGCACTGAAATTTTGGCAACTGAAAATATTCGGCCAAAATAGCAAATAAATAAATAAAAAGATCAGTTTTTGCTAAATGGTTTTGGAGGGAATTAATTACTGACCAAAACAGTTAGCGCTTCTCCGATGACGTGTTTTGACTGTTTCAAGTCAACGTTAATAAATCAATTAAAATAAAATAAAAATCAGTTTTAGCCAAAATGGTTTTGAAGGGATTTAATTACTGACCAAAACAGTTAATTACTGACACAACAGGTGAAAGGCCTTTCCACACTGAGTGCGAAAAAGCAAAAAGAATATCGGATGCGATGACGCGCTGGAATAAAACAATAGATTTCTATGGATGCTTCCACATAGACCGCAAACATTCGAGCACCGAAAATGCGAATGTTTTTTTTTCGAACCAGTCCGACGAATCTTTTCAGTTTCACAAAGCGAAATCACGGGCCGTTCAATAAGATTTGAGCTAGGATCACGTGACCGGAGCAGCTGCTGTTGCACAAAAGGGTGAGAGTGGTGGCGCTGTTTCGAAAACCAGGAGAAGAGAGTGGATGCTGAGTTTTTGTTTTTGTTATCTTTATACAGAATAACATTTCTATTAATTGTCCACTGAATTATGTGATCTGTAGAGCACCGTCCATTTTCTTCCACGTGTGCGAGTGTTATGAGTCAGAGTGCGTTAACTCTTTTTCTACACATGAAATATGAAAGCAAATAAACATGATTATGACGATATATTTCCACTGAATCATGTGATCTGTAGAGCACCGTCCGTTTTCTTCCACATGCGTGAGTGTTATGAGTCAGAGCGCATTAACTCTTTTTCTTTATTTTTATAGCAATAAAGGATGTTTATGACAAATATTAGCAGTGTAGCATTATTAAACATACAAAAAGTGCACGTGTCTGCTTATTAATCAAAATCAACGATAGATCACAATCGGAAGTTATTACAAGCACTCAATGATGGTTTAAAGTGGGTAAGCAAATACATTAATAATTACATACATTTTCAAGTGTAGCTTGATGCTAATTGTACTTCTAATTATATTTTAGGATGTAGCCTATTCTTGTAAGCATTATAGATAGTTTTTTTCTGGTGTAGAATTAACTTTGTCTTAATTTAATGCTGTATATTGAGCAGCGGACGATGTTAAATCCATTTACAAGATACATATCTGAGGAAAAATGCATTGTTGGTCGGCGCCACCTAGCGTGCAGGCGTGAATTAGCAGAAGGCGAACAATCGTTTCACGGTCGGTGTGAAAGCACCGTTCGTCGGCGATTCGCCTTGCTTTTTCGCATCGCGCTCAGCGTGGAAAGGCCTGAACATGTCAGTGTCGACGAAATTCACCGAAAGCGAAAATCATGTTTTTGGTTGCAATTGGGAAAATCTGTTTTGTCTGAAATATCAAGAAGAAGTTTGTTGTCGATAAACTTTACTACAATTGGTTTATCACCTGTGAACAAGACACCCTGAACAGCATCAATTACCCAATTAGCCAGCGTTATTCCATTTAGTTTTGGGGCTAAATAAAAGCTTGAATTTCATTTTCAGTGTTTCAGTGAAAAATATTTCTGCAAATAACTAACTGCAATTACTTCATACACAATACACTTTCGACAGCCCGAGAATGGTCCATGTCGTCTGAGGAAGACATCCTCCCAAAACCTGATCGCTCACACCATCTTGTATGTTTCCCCTGGGGTGTGTTAATCCTGAAGCTTGACCAGTCAGCACAGCAAGACTCCATGCCAAACCCTCAGTAATGACATCCAGACTGGCATTAGTCAAAGTCCTAGTCTTAATTCACTTTAATCTTCACCATAGCAAAATTATTGTGTGTGTTTGTGAGGGTGTGTGTAGTAGATCAGCACAACACATTGAGGTGGCCCATGGCTTTGTGATGAAAATGGAGAACCCCCTCATGCGGCCCCCTGTGGAGTGTCTCTTCATTCAGGCATAATCTCATACAATTAGACTCATGAAATACAATGAGTCTCCCAGAGTGGTTCAAATGGGCTGCTCTATAAGTTGGGCTGGTGATGAGAGTGGTTTGATTTACAGCTAGTAGTTTGACTTGTATTGTACATAACCGCAACCTTCTATGTTGATTACACAATTATGTTATGCAATGCTTTTGTTGGTCCGATCTGAGCAGTAAGACTGAAATGGATTTCAACAAATGTGACATATGAATGTAGCTTGAAACGGATTTGTAAAAATAGTATTTCATGTGATTTTTTTTTTACATTCACATTTGCTAAATATGATCGGATTCCAATTGGATATGAACAAAAATCTGATTTGATTCTTCTAGAAGTATAAACACACTGTCATATCATTGGTGTGTTTGTTTGAGTGTCCAGCTTAACCAGCTTAATACTGGCTCAACCATTAGTGTAGGTTTTGGACGGGGCTGTCAGTTTGCCTAACCAATGACAGCTTGGAATCCTGTTGGAAAACATTTTATTTCATTATTTTAGGCCATTATTGCCATTCCTTTGGATATTATATACATCACCATTAATTTAGCAACTCTTGCGTCATAAAAGCAAAGATGAGCTGAATTTAAAGCAGACTGACCACAATCCCCCATTGACAATATGACAGTGATGGTGTCTACAACAGTCTGTGGCTGAAAGGGCCATTAACTCTCTGTGATAGCACACAGCATTAAGCCGTGAGAGGGTAATTACCAGAAAATGGACAGATTTGAGAGAACATGTTGCATTCAATGGACCTTTCACACCCAAAATATGCACAGCGGACTTGCTTCCATTCATCGCTGGATTCAGATTTCATATCTGTCACAAAAAAAGCATTTTGAAGCATTATATGAGTCCAAAAACAACATTTGTAACTGTAGCCACTGAGTTTCCTCTCAGTAATATGGAACCGTGTATGGATCGCTCCAGTTGGCAGACGGATACATGTGAATTGTCCTGTTGAGCTCTGGTGTAACGAAAGGAGACTGAGAAGATCATCACACTTCCACCCCCACGCCTACAGACCCATGCGGGTCAGTCCAGCTGGCCAGTGCTGGAATGACCTATGCAGTGAGAGAGAGGTCATGAACCTATGAGGTGTCCATCACCCTGATGGTTGTAGTCTAAGCACGGCCAGTCTGGCAACACCGCTCAATGCTGCAGTAATGGCGAGAAACACGCTCACGAAAACATATCACATTGATTTCACCATTAAGAGGTGTGACATATAAGAACTATTGATTTCAGTGGCTTTGGGAATTAGCTCAATACTGAGATGATTGAGTTGCTGAACGCACAGAAGCGCTGCAGCCATGTGCCGATCAAAGTGGTCAAGCTGTTCATATTTGAAAGGTTATCTCCAGTGGAAAGCAGGAGGGGTGCCTGATAAATATTCTTTCAATCATTTGTGGTGTTTGCTTAGAGGTTGAGCAAAGTCTTAACCCTAAATATCAAACTTCAGCACATCCGAACCCCCATTTGTGCCAGAAACCGCACCCTAGCAACCAGCTCAAGACCCTAGCAACTACCCAGAACACCATAGCACTGGACCGGCAATCACAGTCTAACAACCAAGTAGCAACACCCTAGCAACCACCAGAACACCACAGTAACTGCAGGGCAACGTCCTGGTAACCACCACAGCCTCTTAGCAACCATCAGAACACCTCAGCAACACCCCAAAAACCACCCTGAACACCATAGACTAGCCTGGCAATTACCTAGAACACTCT